TTACAACTTCTGTGACTGGCTGAGATGCTGGGAGTTGCAGCCCACATCTCAGGGAGTTGAAGGGTGCAAGTTGGGGAAGGCTGCTCCACATGGTTCTGATGATAATAACCACTGTGCCCTTTAAGAATGAACCACCTTGTTGCTTCAGGATTTTAAGACCTAAAGAGCCACGGCACACCTGCCTTTGCACAGCAGAGGGGGGAATCCATACTGCAGGGCTTAGCCGCAGTCATGTGCAATTACAGAATACACACTACGGTTCTCTAGCTGTGGGGGATGCATGCAACTGAAATAATAGCACAGAAGAGGAATGGACAGAAACTAGTGATGAATAGGGCATCGGTGTAACTTCTTCAGTTTTTTAAAAATTAGAGAAATCATTAAAAGGCTGCGTGGTTACAATCATCATAATCACCATCTTCACAAATAAAGAATGATTTTACAATGTACACAGTGGTGCCATATCGGGACCAGAACACAGATGCTGAGCATGGAGGGGCAGAGAGGCACACAATGCAGCATCAGGATGGTAAGAATCATCTATTTCCCCCAAGGGAAGCATGCAGCACGCGCTTGGAGTCCCTCCTTTTGCAGCCAGCTGCAAAGCTTGGACATGCTTATTCGTCGTTGCTTCCTTCCTCGCAAGCTTGTGCCCACGTACTGTAGTGGGCAGAGTGGCAGGCCTTGACTGAGGGCTCCAGTTCAAGTCCCTGCGCCACTGAACACCACACTACATGATATTAGGGTGGTCAGTGAGCCACTCTGCATGATCACCACAGCCCACCATGGCTTATTTAAGCCACGGCAGCTTACAGTGTGTGCTCATGGCCACTTGGATTATCCTCGCCATGGCAGGCACTTGCTTCTGGTGTGAACCCTGGCAAGAGTGGCTTATGTGAAGACTGAATAGCTGTAAAACAGGCCATGGGTTGTAAGAGGGCTTTTTTAACCCTCACATAAGCCACACTTGCTTATACTGTACATTTCTCATAAGTCACACAGGCCACCAGCTGTGGTTTGAATATCTAAAAGGGCATCCAGCACATGCTGTGCAAATTGTGGCACACGGTGGGCTGTGATATTCATGCAAACCTTGTCACAGTTTCTCAGCCTCGTCTGTTTCACAGGACCTTTGTGAGGCCAGGGGAAGCAGATGGAAACAGCTGCTTATCATCACTACCCATTAGCATGAAACCTAACATACGAAAGATTGTCACTTAACCACTACTACAATCTATTAAAGGGCTATCATTAGTTGGATGCCAAAATTGTAGGGGATTAGAGATGCTTTTTCTATATGGGTCTGCTCTTAAATCGTGTTTCTTCAGATGAAACTATCCAATTTCAATATTTCAATTCTCAGATCAGCTACTCATAAAAATGAATGCCTTTCTACTAAAGCAATCTATAATTCAGCAAAAGAACTACCATAATCACATTTCTTCTAGCAGCAAGGTCTGGTATTGAAAGCAGTATCTCTATCTGCTGCCTAAAAGAACAATGTTTCACACAACAGATAATTTAGCAGAGAAGAGCAAAAGATGCCAATGCATTCTACTCATCCAGCCATGTATTTAAAAAAAAGAAGCTAATCAGGCACAAAGTATTCTCAGCTGCAGTGTTTGCTATACAGAATCCTTTCAATCTGTATTGTAAGCAAAGAAGATGTAGGAAGCTGGAAGAGCTTAGTGAAAAAGCAAAACAATGCATACATTGCAGCACCAGTCATGAGCTTTGGCAGAATCCCTGATAAATGCAGTTACTCTCCCCTTTCAAGGCAATAATTCTGTACTTGAGGTTGGAAGCCAGCAGTGCTACTGCTGATCCTGCTGGCATCCAGTGAAGGGCAGAGAGGCTTGCTGGTTGCAACTGGGAGGGCCTACCCGCCTTTTACAAGTTCACAACTGTGAAGGAGGATGCAGCTTCTCCTGTCCCTTTCCTGCAGCAGACAAGAGGGAAGTGTGGGTAAGAAGACTGTGAGAACACCAGGGAGGTGATGACCATATGCTTCCTCACAGTTGAAGAAACTTTTGTGATAAAAACTGCAATCTTGCAATGCTGCAGTTGGGGATTAGAGTGAACTAAACACCCTGGGCTTGTATGGATGATAAAGGTCGACTCTGCAGATATACCATATCTGTTTCCCCACACAAGAGGCAAAGAACAGCAGAAAAGAGAGCCAAGCACATTCGCAAAAGGAACAATGACAAATCAAACCATTGCAAACTGCCCAGAGCGCTTCAGCCGCTGCAGACTGTAGACATGAATATTAATAATAGCAATAGCACAAACATTTTTAAAACTCTCCTTTACTAATTTCAGATGTAACTATTTCCCCACTTGTTCACTGCCTGTATGCCTATTTTTCTGAATATTCACCATGTGTCTAAGGTACCCACTTTGATGTATGAAGAATTTGACGGTTGACAGTTCTCTGGCAGCTACTTGACAGCAACTTACATGGACTTCTCACGCTGTAACATGCAGCGTCTAACCAGGTTCACACACAGTGACTATGCATAAAATAAGCCATCATTTGCTGAGACCATGCCGGAACGAGTGAGCATGCTGCCTCCAGTCTAGGGATGTGTGAATTGGCAAATCCTGAGCTTGCCAGCATTCTCCAAATTCTATCTCAAGGCTCTTTCTGACCAGAGTCTGTATCAGGGTGTGAGCTTGGTCTTTGTTTTTCTTTTTTGCATGAAAATCTTGCATATTTTCCAAATATGTGCCTCAAGTGTGCATGTCTTAGAAATGTGTACATTCTTTTTCCATTGCTTGCAGTGCATCTGCTTGATTTATTCCTAGAAGTTTTCTCAGGTGCATTTCTTGAATGAATGAATGCTGCAGGGGGAGGTGGGGCTGTGGATCACATTTGCTAGCTCAGAGATGTATTTGCTAGCTCTGAGATGCACTCAGTCTAGAAAATGTGAAATGGGTCAATGCTGCACAAAAATGAGCTAAAGGAAATGTCTCATACATCCCAACTCCCGTGCACTTGCCACCTCTGCTTTGAATCCACTGCTTTGACAAAAACCCAGAGTTTTAACTCAACAAGAATCCATAGGTTAACATCCATGGTTGCTTGTTCCTCAACAACTCATGAATTCTGGAATTGGATGTCTTATCAAACCACCCAGAAAGGGGCTCACCTGAGTAATTTGAGAAAGCTGGTGCAAAGTGGAAGCAGTGGGCGCATGGGAGGCAAAGTGCTTGTTTGTTCTGGTGTAACTTGTTGTTTTTTTTTAGCCGTGATGTGTGAAATGACTCAAAATCTGACAGCTCACATGCACTAGCAATTAGATTTTGGAAGAAATTGAGCTTTGCAGTAGCATATGTTCATAAATGTTAGTAAATCTCACATTAATGTATTTCATCCAAACAAACAAAATGGGATATTTTAACATGTTCAGGTAGAATCTAAATGAAAAGTTTTGGTCAAGTTCAGCAGATTCTGAATGTTTGCTAAATTTAATTTCTGCAAATGCAGTTGAAATTCATTCCAACAAATGCAGCTGGTATTTCCCCATGTGTCTTTCTGGATTCATTCTGTCCCAGGTGTGTTTTAAATAAAGGTGTTGACTTTGGCATATCAGTTGTATCTTCGCTGCTCGGGAGTGGTAGATTGTTGGCAATGCTCTCGGGGCACGCCTCTGGGACAGGTCCTTCTGCCAGGGAATATGAGACAGTCAGCTGGAGGTTGGATGGGGAGGAGGAGAGGAACCAATGAATCCTGCTAGGCTGCTCCCTGGGAGATCAGGCATATCAGACAACAAGGTGTGTGTGAGGACAGGTCACCTAGGTGACCAGTGCAAGGGAAATAAATGGGCTAGTTGGTCTGTGTAGAGGATGGGACAGTGGTCAATGCAGAACTCCACTTGACTGACTCAGCTGTGCCTAGGTGCACCCTCTCCACCTTTCCTAGTTTAGGACCATACCCTAGATTTGTACCCATGTCATATAAAACGCGAGCTGTTCCGCTCATTCAGGGCTCTTCTTGCATCTTCTGTTGGATCTTCTGAGAATTGGAAAAGGTGCCCTTTGTCTTAGCCAGAGTTAATTATGTCTACCTGTGGAGCGCCTTCATGGATAAACTCTCCTGTGCCCCCACCATAATTTACATGGAGATCGCTCCTGCTTCCCACCCCCACACCCTGTGGAGGGAGCACCCCTGGAGGCTGCTGCAGGCTTTGTGTGCCTCTGGCTCTCCTAGCTGACTGTCCTGGACCTTCCCTCGGGATGTTGGGCATGTTCCCCTTGGTGGAACCCTTGTCCCAGGAGAGCTGTGTGGACTCTTTATAAGCTTCCCACCCAGGGAGCCATGGGCATGCATTATTGTGTAGTCTTTCCTCACTCTTCTTTCTGTGTTGTGCTCCCAAATGGTCTTTGTGAGCAATATAAAAGAATTGGAACCCCTGCCTGAAGAACTGGCAGGAGCAGGATAATTGTTGCAGAGCCGCTGAGGCAGAGAGAGTGTGTTCCGAAGTCATTTTGCAGCTGTACATTGGTGGTGTGTCCCCAGCATCATATGCCTTTTGGCTCTTCCTGTGTGTTGCATCATCACTGGAACAATCCCCGATTGGTGAGCTTTGGTGGTGCCTCCAGGGTCATTTGCAGTGTACCTGCCTCCCCTGCCTTTTTTTTTTTTTTTTTGCTCTTTTTGTATTTTCTCATGTAAAATTAGAGCAGCTTTTCTATCTCTCTCTCCAGCTGCTATAACTGGTATAGCAGTGCCAGTATATCTCACCCCATTCTTGATATAATTAGTGTATTAGATTATTCTGCCCATTAGTTAAAAGTTATGTACCAAATGACCTGTTTAATACTGTAGACTATTTTTAAATCCCCACTGTAGCCAATACAGATATTCTAGCTAGGCTCCCCTAGTGACAGGGAGAAACTTAGGAAAACTCTCTGTAGGAGAAAATTGAGCTAATATTGAAAACTGTGCTAAAATATATGGATTATAGATCTATTCTTATTTTTTTGTCTTTTAATAGATAACTATCTAGACCATGAAGGGGGTTGCCAGGCTGATTTTCCCACTCCTTCTTGTGCTGATCTGTGTTGTGAATGGACAAAGGCGAGTCAGACCTCCAAAGAAGCGTCCAACTCCCCCACCCTCTGAACCAGTGGAACCTACAGAGTTGCCTCCACCTCTGCCACCAGGACCTCCCTCAGTTTTCCCAGACTGCCCCAGAGAATGTATGTGCCCTCCAGATTTCCCTTCAGCCCTTTACTGTGACAGCCGCAACTTGAGAAAAGTGCCATTCATCCCCTCCAGGATCCATTATGTCTACCTACAGAACAACTTCATTGATAAGCTTTCTGAAGAGTCCTTCAAGAATGCCACAGACCTGCGGTGGATCAACCTGGATAATAACCGCATTGAGACAGTGAACAATCGAGTGCTGGAGAAGTTGGACAGACTTGTCTTCCTGTACATGGAGAAGAATAATCTTAAAGAAGTACCCAGCTATCTGCCTCCCAATCTGGAACAGCTTCGACTGAGCAGGAACCGGATCCGGAAGATCCCTGAAAATGCATTCAACAAGCTGGACCATCTCCTCCTCTTAGACCTCCATCACAATGAGCTGAATGATGGAAACATCAAAAAGAATACTTTCAGGGGGCTGAAGAACCTCATGCAGCTCAACTTAGCTCACAACAGGCTACATAAGATGCCACCTGGGGTTCCCAAAGCCATCCACCAGCTCTTCCTAGATGAGAACCAAATTGACAACATCCCCAGCAACTACTTTAAAGATTTCTCCAACTTGGCTTTCATCAGGCTTAACTCTAATAAACTCTCTGACAAAGGGCTGCCCAAGAACTCTTTCAACCTTACTAACTTGCTGGTCTTGCACCTGGCGCACAACAATCTCACCAACATCCCCTTGATTAGTACCAAGCTGGAGCACCTCTACTTGAATGACAATTCGATTGAAAGTGAGTCAGCACAAGTCAGCAATTGCTTAGGCCCCCCCAGAGAACATATTTTGTGGGGAAGGGAGCCAGGACCAGGCCGTGCTAACATGGCTCTTTCATGAATGGCTCAGCATCCACAATAAAAGCTCAAGTAACTGCAGCTTCAAATGGTCAAATATAATGCATAAGGCATCTTGTTCTCCTTCCCTTAATGGTGATCTTTTGCTCCCCCTTTGTATTCTAGTTCTGGAGGTTCCATGTTTTATTATTCTGCATTTTATTGTAAAGGTATTTACTCTGCTGAGGGAGCACCGCCAAGTGCAATCACAGGCACACGCTAGGAAGCTGACTTATACTGAGAACATTTAGTCCATCTAGCCCTGTACTATCAATGCTGACTGGCAGCAGCTCTCCCAGGTTTCAGGCTGGTGATGCCCCAGCTATCTCTAGCGATGCTAGGAAGTGAGCCTGGAACCTTCGGCATGCAAAGCACGTGCTCCGTCACTGAGCTACAGCCCTCTCTGTAAAATAATGAGCAATTATAAACAGAAAATAGCAAGAGTAATACTGAGATGAAATATCAAGGGATGAAATATCAAGGGATTCTATGTTTTATAACTTCAGATTTAAAATTAAGACAAGTTAATTGGACAGTATGCATGTACAGAGGGAAATGAAAGTTTATCCTTATCTGTAGGTGCAGAAAGTCTGGGAAAGTGAAATGGGAATGAGATGGAGGACTCCTCTGTGATTCTAGCAATGTTTGCTTCACACACTTTCCAGCAGAGCCTAAGAAGGAATCTCATCCTACAAAACACACAAGCAAGGTTGGGGAAATAACAAAGTTTCTTCCATTCTTACCCTGAGATGCTGCTATTGCTGGAGCTCCCACCACCTGCTGCCTTGATTGAAAACATCTGCAGGGGAGCAGGAATGTGGAATTCTTTCCAGAAATCCTTAACAAGCACAGGAAATAATAAGCCATGGCACTTTAACACAAGCCCACATGTCTTGTATTTTTCACAATGGTTTAAAGGTCTGGCACTCTGGGGCAACAATTTAGGCCAATAAAGCCTACTTGTATGATGGGCCCCAAACACAAAAACTGCAGTTAAATTCTAAGTAACTTTATTCACATCTGGAAACTTCATGGCAAAAACATTCCTTTTCAACTAAGCTAGCTCGTTGATGCAACATTAATAACTCCTATGATCAACAGCGCGCAGGCAGGAACTCAGGCTAATGACTTTTGGCTCTAAAACTGTGAGTTTTTGTTTTAAATTCATAGGATTCAGACTTTCACTAGAGTTTGTAGTCGAAGGTTAGGTTAAGGTCACATTTTAAATCTTGGTCTGCAAGTTAAAGACCTATTTCTAGAGAGTGGATAAATGTGAAGCTGCAATTCATCCTTTTCTTCCTGACACTGCAGCGTTCGCCATGATTAGGTATTTAAGGGGAGGCTGGGTGACAATTAGGGATGCTGTAGCAAAACCTAAATTAAACTTGATCAGTGGTGGGCATAGTTTTCTTTCTGGATACTTTGGCATTCAGCTTTCGGAAGTTCCTGCCCGTAGATCACTGGTAAAGAATGCTGCAAAGTGCAGTCCAAAACACTTGGAGACCTCCTGCTTACTTACGCTTGCTCTTGATTGTAATATTTCAGTTAGTCCTCCAAAGGTTCCTAAGCCCTTCAGAAGTTTTGACATGCTAACAGGCTTAAAGGATTGAATATTTTCCTTTGAAAGATATACTTGAGTTTCAGAGGATCAGTTATTCTATCTGTACAGTGAGGACCAAGGCATTTCCTCACAACAGGAGCATGTAACCTGTGGATGCAGATACTTCACTGATAATGGGGTTTGTTTAATTAGTACTTCAGTCAAAGCGTCCCTAACGACTTCATTATTACTCTTTAATAAGAGATGCACTTCTTCATTATATCTTTTGCTTTGCTGCCCAAGTTGCATTGTTGACAACAAGAGAAAATACATGTAGAGAGAGGCACCAGGATCAAGCAGCATCCTAGTTCTGCCCTCTTATAGCCCCAAGAAGGCAGCAACAACAAAAACAGCAAATTTCATGCGAATAGCACTAAGAATCCTTGTTGACAGACAAAACCACAGCACTATGCTCTTTGTACCTCAGATATTGCAATCCAAAGTAATCGAATTATCTATTCCAAAATATCCCAGGATAGCAAGGAATGCATCAGTGACAATTTAAAATCAGCCTCATTACAACATCATTATGGTGCAAGAATACTCTCAACTTTGCCTATTTTCAGCCTCTCTTATTGGCAGTTAGAACTGGAATGGCAGGCTTGTCCATTTATTATTTCCTTCGGTCTGCTATTTCGACGCTGATGGAGCTGTTTGCACATGATTTGATTTTGTGCTTTAAGCCTGCTTGTTCTCCTATTACAGTGGGACACATCTAAGTGTTCTATGAGTCAGAGAGGTAAACCCATGAAGTGCTGTTATGCCCCTGAGCTTGGAAAAATGTCTGCTTAGAGACAGATAAATTAACATCTCAAATGTGGGGCTTTTAGGAAAGAAAATAGTGGTTACTTGAAACTCTTCCCATGGGTAGCTGGAGGAGCATTAGAAATTTCTCTAAAGCAGCCTCTTCCAACCCAGTACCCTCCAGATCTTCTTACCTCCAACTCACAGCATCCCTAATGATGGCCAGTGCTGGCTGGGGTTGATGACTGTTGTAGTCCACACACTTATACATGTTTAAGTTCCTCAGGTTTAGCAGTATCATTCATAATGAAGAATTGTTCTCTAGAATTAGAACCTGTAGGTGTGTGTCTCGTTAATACCCACCCAATAAATTCTCACACTGAAAGGGAACCACATATCCACATTCTAACCCTTCAAACAGTATCAGATGTCCATGACATGTTTCTGGGAACAATTAATGACTTTTAGGCATTCTGCTTAAGGGTATAATGGACTTTGTGGGCTTTGCTACTGCCTGTGTGTGGAATGAAAATGTCTGCAGCAAAGAACCCTTTGCATGCGTGCAGGATTCCTGGCACCCTGGATTCTAAATTGTGCAGGGAACCTACATGAATACTTCCTGCTGACAAAATTTGCCCTCATCATGTAGATGGCAGCAAGGACTACAGAGGGAGAAGGGATGGCACTAGTTTGCTTTCCCTCTTTGCATGTTCATTACACCCTAAAGCAGACCATAATGCGACAGTTTGAAATATTCCCTGCTGTCTAATAGCACAGAGGTGGCATGGATATTACAGAGGCATAACACCAACACAAAATGACATGAAACGGGAACAAACATAAGCATACTTCATGAAACTCACTGGTGGGAGACTCAGGGAAGTGCTTCATGCAGCACATAGTTAAACTATGGAATTTGCTGCCATGAGAAGTAGTTGGGGCCACCAATTTAGATGGCTTTAAAAGGGCATTGAACAAATTCAAGGAGAAGGCTATCAGTGGCTATGGTCTTGATGCTATATGCAACTCCCAGTGTCAGAGACTGTGTGCACCAGTTACTGGGATCCTTGGGCTGGTGGGGGCTGTTGGACTCCTGTTCTTCTTGAGGGATCCTGTGGATCGCTGGCTTGCCACTGTGTGAACAGAATGCTGAACTAGATGGATCATTGGTCTGAGCCAACGTAGCTATTGAGAAAAAATACGTTCTTAATATTTTTTGAGCAGTAGCATTGTTTGTCCTTGGGATGATATTTCTACCCCGTATACAAAGTATCCCCTATATAAGGCCACAGCATCAATTTCAGGTTTCAGCTAGTAGAGGTTATTTGTCACTTCATCTTTCCCCCATGATTTTACAAGCAGCATGACAAGGCTTCCCCTATAAAGGGTTACAATCAGCATACCAATTAATTTCAGGCTGCAACCTCTCAGTTTTTGTGTGAGGGTGAGGTTTGCTTCTCTTTTTGGCACATAAAAGAGACTAAGATGACCTGTAATAATTTCAGAAGGTCATGGGACATTTTGTGTCCTGAATATTTACACTGTGTGGGGGTTCTAGAAACATTGCAATGGCAAATAAATAAATATCAATAAATTCCAGGGATATTTTATATCTTGGGTATATTCTGGTTTATAAAAAGAAAATTGTAAAAGGCAAGTAGTTGAAATTTAAGGAGGTTGTTTTACTATCCTTCTACTATCCTAGGAGGACTAAATTTTAGGTCTACTTATTTGTAAATGACATAAGAAAATGTGAGTCTGGGGAATGGCAGTGCCCCAGGAAGCATTTCAACATTTTATTTATTTATATTCCACTTTTTTCATTTCGAGGAACTCAAGGTAGATTACATAATTCTCTTTCTCTCAGTCATCCTCACAGCAATAACCATTTGCGGTCGCTTAGGCTGAGAGTCTGTGACTGGCCGAAAGTCAACTAGTAAAGTCCATGGCTGAGCGGGGACTAGAACCCAGATCGCCTGAGTCCCAGTCCCTCACTCTTAACAATTACACCACACTGGCTCTCATTTTAGAGCTGCAATACTAAATGATTGTGTGCTATGAAATGAAAAAAGGCATGAGAGTTGAGAAATAAACAGGGAAGGCTTGTTCACAGAAGACAAGGAGAATTAATATGCGCCAATGGACAGAAATATAAATCTTAAGGCCAAAAGGGACTGCATTGCAGTAATATAAAATTGTATTTTCAATAACGCTGACCACTTATGAATGATAGGTGCCCTTGGGGTATAAATAAAAAATGCAAAAGCAATTATCTGTGGCTAATGTAACTTTCCTAATCTACTGTCATGCTTTCTTTTCTCCCTTTAGAAATTAATGGGACCCAGATATGCCCCACTTCGTTGTCAAGTTTACATGAATCATCCTCAGATCTGGAAAATGTGCCCCGTCTCCGCTATCTGCGCCTAGATGGCAACCAGCTGAAGCCGCCCATCCCCTTGGATCTCATGATGTGCTTCCGACTCTTACAGTCTGTTGTCTTCTAGGCCTTGCAGCAATCGCCACTCTTTGGAACTTTGGCTTTGCGCAGTGACTTGATTCCAGTCTATGTTAGACATGGGGAAATATATCTTAACATCTCTACCCTGCCCTTACCTCCCCGGTGCCTTCTCTTTGCTGCTCCATTCTGCTTCCCCTTCTTTGGCTGTAAGAAGCTCTGTCCTCAGTGCAGTCCCTCCTTTATGCAGCATCCAATGGAGGCTCTGTGCCCTTGAGTGTTGCACAGGTTCACTTGTACATGCAGTTTCCAGAAAACAGCTAGAAGTCACAGTAACATTGGTGTCTTCCATACGGTTCCTTTAGATGAGTAGATCTCTAATGGAGAAAGGAGCATACATGGATGCATCAAGCATGCAACATCTGTGTGTACTGACTTGCTGCTTAGAGTTGCAGATAGAGTTACTGGCCCCAGAAATGCAGCAAGTTTTTGTTTTTTGTTTTACTTTAAAGGGCAGGCTTGTTGTACCTGTCAGAGGAGGAAAGGCTATTCCTTTTCATGCAAAGTGATTCAGTGTGCCCAGTAACAGTGTGGGGCTAAGGAAAGGAATATCAAATTGTATTTATACGTGGAAGTCATAAATGTATCTTAGTAGGAAACTCATCTTGTTGCATACGCTAAAAGATACATGAAACAGACAGCAGTGTACTTTAGAGTCTTGTGAGATGTACTGTAGGTACAATCGGGAGCGACAGACAACTCACACTACGCCCGTTTGTGCCCTTTAGGGTGGTCCAGGTGATGCAGCAACATACTGTGGGAATGTTCTGAATGACCGAGTGCAGTGGGACCACCAGGATCTGGGTCCTGGCAGCTCAGGGTCAAAGCAGACTTCCTAATTCCCAGCCCCATAATCTGGCTCCACACTAATTTTGCTGCTGTGACTCAACTGCAGTACTAGAGAGAATTTGCCACAGCGCACGGTCACCTACATGGGTCAGCAAGTTGCATTGTTCATGAAGATCTCCAGGATATCTCCATGCTTGCTGCTGTTGCTGTTGTCTTTGCATGATGTATCCCAGACCATATGATACACCCCATTGCAATTTTCCTTTCATCAGTGGCCTTGGGACTTATCTGGGCAATACTAGGTCTCCTTCCCTGAAAGTCAGTGCATCACTAAAGGAGTATTTACATTCACTTAATGTCCCTAGCAAAGGTCACCAAGGAACTGCCTCCCCACTCCTCAGAGTACATCCCTTAAAACTCTGAAACAGAACACTATCCCCAGCCCCAGTTACTTGAGAGGAGAAGCAATAGCATGTGCAAATATACTTGAGAGGAGCTGTACAAAAGTACAAGCCTTGACTGCGTTGTTGGACTAGAAGCAATCCACAGGTATCAGCTGACTTTCCATGACTTATGGGAGTGAACCCCTCCCTAGAGGGGACAGGTGCAACAGTATACATTTGAATTGGCAATCCATAACTCAATTCAAACACTCTGCTCCTTTCTTCCAGTACTTTGGGTGCCTTCTGTGGCAAACATAGAGAAAGTAGAAGAGGTATAAGGTGGTTCATTGAGAGCAAATCAAGCAAACTCCAAACCTTTAAAAAGAGACTCTTCCTTAAGCATTGTGGACTTTCACCTAGTCTCCAAGAATTGCATTGTATAAATACATCTGGGGACTAACAGATCATAAAAGAACCTTCCGAATCATGTTTTCTGCAATAAACAGTGCAATCCTCTGCACACACCCCTGGCAGTTAACCTCCACAACAGAGCTTAACTTCTGTGTAAATATGCAAGGGAACTGCAACATGATAAATGAAGGATCCATATCATTGAGTGAACTATTCTGAACATGTGGCTCTGTGGGAGAAGTGGGATGCCACTTCTTTTTAATGGGCAATAGCCTATTGTGCCTGTGTGCTCGCAGGACCAACTGCTTGCCAATCTGCTGTGCCATTGCTCCAGCCATCTCCCTACCTACAAAGCCAGCTCCTCAGCTGCTTTACTAACTGAATATGTGCTTTATTATCTTCTCATTTGCTCGAGAGGTTCAAGCAACCCTGCTCCCTTTTTTGAAATCAACAAGGTCAGCCTTCTGAGCTTCTCTGCTATGCCCTTCTTCCTTTCCTGAGACAACCTAAAGGGGATGCACTTCCACAGTGCTTTTAAATGTGCCGTGTTTTCAGCCCTTGTCCCAGGGCCAAGCTAGTTGTGGTGCCAAATGTGCCTTTGTCTTTAGCAGTCACATTTTTAGATGCACACAGCAGCTGCAGGAGTTGGGGACTGAAAATGATGGAGATCACAGCAGGCAGAGATTTAAGGCAGCCAATATGCATTGCCAAAGAAGAGGAAAAGTACCACCAAAAAGAAAGACACTGTTGTGCACAATATGTCCATATGCTAATTTGGAATTGTATGCCTAGGCACAAATTTTTAAAAAACCACTATGATTTAGATAGCAATAGAATACATCTCACCATAGTGGTGAGGAACCTGACCAAGCTTGCCTGTGTGCCCACTCGCCCTGTTGCTCAGGTGCAAACGTGGATCACCAGCTTTAAGGCCACCCTTTTCTCCCTCTGGTTGTCTAGACAGCCATTCAAATGACTGTTCTCAGATAGCCCTTAAGCAGAGGATGTCCTCTGTAAAGTAGGAGACATGGTAACCCTGTGAGGGACTTGAAGTTTACCCATTGTCACCATATTAAATGCAAAGGTGCAGTTAACTTCAGGCCAGATTTGGTCTTCACTTCATCTTGTATCAAGCTTGTAGAGTCAGTCATTATTTTTCCTATTTTATGATGGAAGAACTGGAGTTTAGAAATGTGGGGGGAGGGGGGTACACTCAAGGTGACAGAACAAAGGATTTGTACTTAAGTTGTCTAGCTGCAGGATTTGATTCACCAGGCCACACCGAAACCTTGAAGTTTAAATGCTGGCCTCTTTCTACCCAGGCAGTTCAGGACAGAGTCTGATAGTTGTCTGCTGTATTCAGAGGCATACCTTTTAAAGTGATTTTGAGAGCACTGCCCATCTGAATATGCTATATGAGGACTAGTCATCTCTGAAACTTATCCAGAGTTGCATCCTTGCACAGATCCTGATTTTAATTACCACCACCATCACCTAGGATTCCATTCAGAAAATAGTTCAGGAAATGTTATAATCCCCAGGTAACATTTCCATGTAAAGGTGTTTGCATAGGTGTTTTAAAATGTCTGCATGTAAGCACACACCTTTGCATCAGAAAGACCCCAGTGGGTGAACAGAATGTAAGACTTTCCTATTTTATGGACCTGTTTGAAGCACCATGGCCCAGTTCCCTTCTCCTGCAGTTTAATCACATGATGCCTATTAAGTTATATTTGCTCAATTCATTGCCATGACTCAAGTAACTTTTGGGCCTTATTATTCACTTTGCCCCAGGAACAAGGCTCTTTGCAATATGTTCTAAAACCTTCTTTAAAGCAAATGAACTCTACTTTTTCACTATAGTCGCTGAGTGAAACAGAGCCCACTGTGGGTTTCTTGAAAGACAACTAGGTTCTGGATCTACATGTAAGTTCTGCAATTGAGATCCTTTAAAATATTTTCACAATTCCAAGCTGAGTTTTTATAACTTTTATGAACCCCAGAAAATTTGAGGATTTAAATTCATTGGCCTTTGTCAGGACTGCTTCTTTCACCTAGGATTTGAAGAGGTTGTTCTATGCCTTTGGCTTCCCAGAGCTCCAAAGCAACAGTGTGGGGATTAGTTTCCTATGCATGACACAGGGCTGGGAAATTAAGACAACTTTCTAGTATTTGAACTACAAATCTACAGATGGACCATAGCAGAAATAGAGGCCCGTTACAACACATTCACTAAGCCTGAGCTTGTTTCCCAGAGAGAGCCCCTGCACCTGTTCAACCATCAGATAGGTCCAAGATCTTGTACTGTTTGTCTGGTGCTCTTTCATAATTCCAGTGGCAAAACTGCCTCCAAATTGCTTCAATTCCCTTTACTTCTCATGGATGTCAGCTTCCCAAATTTTGGTGCACCATACATTTCAAAGGCTAAAGAGGAATTTCCAGCTACAGGAAAATTCCGCACTCATTAAGGGTTTTGTAAAAGTCCCTTAACACTCAGGTGAACAGTCACAATAATTAGGATGGTCAAGAACAGCACAATATGCTTTCTCTTCCAGTTACGTCAGTGCAAACTAACATAACCCCACTGATATTTGTTGAGTTACTCTGGATTTATGCTTGTAACACTTGGACTATGGTAGGAAGGGTAGCTATACAGTTTAAATCTCTTTGACACTGTTGGCCACACTTGTCTGAAAGAATCTCATAATGTTTCTTTCCCTCTCCCTATCGCTACAAGCCTTTATGCTTTCTTTATTCCTCTCTGATGTAAAAATTCACCAGTATCTCTTTCACAAAAACTTCTGTTATATTGTTCCTTGTTCTTGCTCTCCTCTCCTTTTATCTCCTGCTATAGGTTACACTAAAGCACCATGAAAATCAATCATTTATTAAACATAAATGGAGCTCTGCAGCCAACAATATATACAATCCACTCCCTTCTAGCTAGCTACCCCAATCTCTGCCCTTTTCCAACCCACTTTTTGGTTGGAGTCATATTTTAAAACCCCTGCAAGTCAACAGGGGATTCTGGATTTTGCCCCTAATGACCAAACAACCTCAGTCCATTGGACACTTTCCCTGATAAAACTCAGCATACCCCACTGGTACCCATGTTGGGGCTGGGCGTGCTTGGGATCACATATTTTAACAGTAATGCAGGCATGAAACTTGCTTTTAATTTAATCTATCTTTCTATGGTGCCTCCTTTGGCCTTCTGTTACACCAGTGCAAACTAGCATAATCCCACTGATATTTGTTGAGTTACTCTGGATTTATGCTTGTAACACTTGGAATATGGTCTTCTGGTTTCTTTTTATATCCTATTAAATCTGTTCTGTAAGTTTCAACTTCGTTTGCTTCAAATAGAGACATTTGCCATTCTACATTTGGTCTCCTTGAACAAGGCCATTAGCAGGTGATACTTTTAATCTCTATGCCATGAAAAACTTTAGCTTTTCTGCTGCATTTCAAACTATGCTAAAGTCAGAAAGGCAGACCAGGTTATTTTTTTTAATTGATCACTCCGTATGACGAAGGCTACGATCAGTGTCTGAGAGTGGGAAGGGCAAACTGGAGGGGCTCAGCAGCAGTGAATGGGGACGTTGTATAGACAATAAACAGAGTTGGCAACATTTTACTAGTCCTGCTTCTCATGCCTTTGACGAAAAGCTGCCACAGGGCTATTTAGCCAGGAAATGTTTCTCCATATCTTTACCTCCATCTCGGGAAAATTTCCACAGGGGAGCCAGAGGCAAAAACGAATAGTCCCCCTGCCCTGGAAAGGTTGTGTAGCAGAGGGAAGTTCAGCAGGGATGGTTCACGCACGAATCTACACTTGCTGAAAATCCCTCTGCTATTAAATAGGTAGGAATCCTGCGTGGTCCTTTGCATTCGGCCACCCATATCTTCACTTCCATATTGGAATGCTGTTAAAAAAGGGAAAAGAAACAAGTAGTTAAAACCTTAATGTTACACACACACACACACACGCACCTTCTTTGATTGATAACTGTCACAATAATTGTATGATCACCCACTTACATAATGGACAGCACATGCTATGTATGAAAATTAGTTAGTTATATGCACATTAGTCTCTGCTCTTATTGGCAACTATTTCAAATATTTTGAATTTACATACCAGTGATACACACACACACACACGTGCGCGTGCACACACACCATGTTTTATTGGGCCTTCCTGGACTAATTCATGATGATATTGGAATTATTAGGGTATTCCCAATGAGCAATGAAATTTGGAAGCCACATCCTATGGCAAGGCACTCCACCCGCTAGAAGAAACAGAAAACAGATTTGTCATCTTATCCATTAAAAAGGGTTATCAGCAACTTATTCTTGCAATGACTATAATGCTTTGTAGAAAACTAAATTTGATATGTTTCTGTTATGTTAGTCATGAAGTCATGTCCGACCCATCGCAACCCCATGGACAACGTTCCTCCAGGCTCTTCTGTCCTCCACCGTCCCCCAGAGTTCACTTAAGCTCACACCAGCTGCTTCAGTGACTCCATCCAGCCACCTCATCCTCTGCCATCCCCTTCTTCTTTTGCCGTCAATTGTTCCCAGCATTAGGCTCTTCTCCAGGGAGTCCTTCCTTCTCATTAGGTGGCCAAAGTATTTGAGTTTCATCTTCAGTATCTGGCCTTCTAAAGAGCAGTCAGGGTTGATCTCCTCTAGGACTGACCAGTTTGATCGCCTTGCAGTCCAAAGGACCCACAGGAGTCTCTTCCAGCACCACAATTCAAAGGCCTCAGTTCGTCGGCACTCAGCCTTCCTTATGGTCCAGTTGATATGTTTAGGTGGATATGAATAGCTGTTGTGCTAGATGGCTTAATGAAAAAATTAATCTAGTATGCAGCTGCTGTGCAAAAGGCAACTTTCACATCAGGTACTCTTAGAAAGGAATCAACAAAAAAGATCATAGTTCTCTTGTATAGAACTATGGTGCAAGTCTACTTGGGATACTGAGTTTAGTTCTGTTCCCTGCGCAAGAGAGAGTTGGTGACACTCACACATATCAGCATTTCAGAATCAGACTGCCTGAAGTAGGCTGCAATGGCTGTCACCAATAATAAGGTGACAGCCAATAATAATGAATAATAATAAGGAATAACTCAGAATAATGATTTTTAGCAGCGCAGAAGGATCCGAACCTTCACTTCTTCTGGTACCTGGTTTGCAGCTGCAGCAGAATGTCAGGAAGCAGGAGGAGGGTGCAGCCTTTCTGCCTTTCCTCGCTTGCTCCACCATCACTGAACAGCTGGCAGCCCATGTGACTGGGTGGCTGCATTGGACAAAGACGGTCTGGTGGCTGACTAGGAGAGAAGGATGTTGAGGGAAATCGGATTGTGTTGCCTTCCCGGTGATTCATCAGAGATTTGACAACGTGCAGTTGTGTCCAGAATTAGGCTACACGTTTTTCAAAAAGAGGAAAAATGAGGGGCACCATGGGAATTCCATCCATCACTGCTGTTACCTCTGCTAACACAAAAGAAGCAACAGCTGATGAACCTGGGGTGAATGGACAGTCATGGAGAACTAGGAAAAGCAGGTGTCTGGGATCCAAGCAAAACAGTGTTCCTGCATTCATCGGAGTACCATCAATGTTTTTTTTTAAGAATTCCAGAAAATACAGAATCCATTTTAAGCACTAGTAATGCTAAGTAATACAACCCACCCCCCCAGGGATTGGTATCTATTCTCAGGGTAGTTAACAACAACACTTTTGGGGAAACATCAGCCAAGTATTTAAACTAGAGGACAGTGGACAGTTTTAATTAATAGGTAGTATGTGTTAAGTAGAATTTTTTGTATCCTAGTATGGACACAAATGCTTCAATAAATGTTAAATTGAATAAGTGAAGTTTGTTCCACCTTTCAGTGTCCAATGGCATCACTGGCAACATTTACAGCAGCAAACATGGCAGAGAGGGCCCTCATCATCAGACGATGGGGCAGAGTATGAGGACAGACTCAGGAAGAGGCTGGTGCCTGCTGTATCTGAGCATGTCTGGTAACAGGAAACACCTGATCTGGATCAGCTACCCAGGCATTTTGATTGCCCTTGCTCCTTGCTAATCCTAATCCTAACCCTGTGCCTTTGCCAGCAGCTTGACCTATAGAGCTCAATTGCCAATAGAAATTATCATTCTACTGATAGATGGGTTTAGCTGAATGACATCTGCAGAAAAAAATGTCCCTTTTAATTTTTTAAATGTCCATAAAAAACGACAACAACAACAGATGCTCAATGCATGTGTCTGCATAGGCTCTATTAACTGGCTTTGAAGGTACCTGGAACAAGTCCTTTTCAGTGGTGGCCCCACACTTACAGCATCTCCTCCCATGAGAGCTCCACTCAGTCTACTCTCTTGCAGCTCTTAAGATCTTAAAGATGATTTAATTTTGCCATGCTTTCGTTGATTTTACTAGTGGCCCCAGTGTCACCGGAATAACTCTAATCCTAAGCACATGAATTTCTTAGGATGCAACCCAGTCGGGATGCCTATAGCCCTCCAAACTCAGGGGATTACAGCTATTCTCTACAGGGTGGTACGAGTACAGAGGTGAAGGCTGCCTCGGTACTCCTTGTGCCCTGCAAAGCACTTAGATCCCCAGCTTTGCCCACCTAAGTGTGGTTCTCCAGAGGAGTGGGAAAGGAGGCCGGGTGCTACCAGGATGTCTCATACCATGGCGGTACAAATCTCCATCCTCCTTGACCCAGGACTGTGCAGAAAATCCCTTTTCCAGGGCTGCTTTAGTGACTTCAGAGGACCACTTGATGCCTGTATCTATGGGGTGGGGAGGACTTGGCGTTCAGAGCCCCAGCTGCAGGGTCGGTGTGACTTTTGACCTCATAGCTGGCTCTCCAAAAAATCCTATGGGCATTTAGATGTTGCCTACCTGCCATAGAATTTTGCTGCACATGGCTTTCCTCTTTAAAAATACCCAGGGTGACTTCCAACAAAAATTATTAAAGCATTCAAACGATGAAATGCCTAAAAATAAATTAAAATGCCAAAACATAATAAAACTACTAAAACTGCTAAAACTAATTACAGTCCATAACCAAAACAGAAAGCACTCATCATATGGTGTCATATGACAGGAGAAAGACAGAAAGCTCCGCTAGGCTAGGGTTAGGAGACTGGCATGTTCATAGATCTTTCAGGAATGAGTTTCTCCTCTGCCATCTTTGTACTGCAGCTTTATCAAAAGAAAGATTTTTGGGATCAGATGTGAGCTACCCTAAAAGAATATTAAGGCTGCCAAAAGTTGCTTTTTAAAAATTTAGTAAAGCTCAAGCTAACCTTATAGCACAGTCAACTTCAGAGATTCAGTTTGAATCACAAACCCTGAATTGTCAAAAAGATAAAAGTGGAAACATTTAAACATTTTCATAAACAATGTTTCTAAAACATGAAGGCACACGTTTTAAAGTGTAGCCAGAGTCTCAGAAGCCTCTGGCAGAACAGTGGAGAAGAAACTTATTTTTAAAATATTTTTAATATTAAAAAAAAATCTGAAGGAATTTCTTAGTGATGATGCCCATCTTTGGAATGACTTTTATCCAGATGTTTGGCTGCTGGTATAGACACAGAGATGGTATTAATCCATCTTTTTATCTATCTTATTTAGATGTCTTTTGGGTACCTTTTTAACAAGTGTTTTAACAAAATGCTGCTTTGGTTTAAATACCAAATCTGCTTTTTGCTATTACTACTTTGATGTGAATTTGTTTGGTTGTTTTCAATTATTATTAACTGGAGTTAAGGAGCAAGATAAAAATATTGGAGTTAAAGAGCAAGATAAAAATTATTGGAGTTAAAGAGCAAGATAAAAATTATTGGAGTTAAAGAGCAAGATAAAAATATATGTAGAAATGACAATTTTGAAGAGATTCTAATTATTTGGGACTGAGCCACAGCAGCTATCAAGATTAAGTTTGCCCTCATTTTTACAGACTTTGTTGCTCTAACAGTGTTTTAATTTGTAGAAGGTGAAGGGTTATTTGTTGTTGTAGAAGTGATGACAAAAGTGAATGCTGTTGAACAAGCTACTGTGGAAACATAACATAGAAGCAAAAGTAATTTTAAAAGATGGCTACAAATTCCCTATGGACATTCTAACTCTAGCCAGGCACTAGTCTTACTTGAAATGCTTAGAAAGATTCCCAGAATCAGGGAGTTCCTTGTCAATGGCTTAATCCTCACAGGCCCCCCACTTTCTTCCCAAATATTTGCATAATTGCTGCAAAGTCTATGTAAGGGGAAATGGGAGAAGTCTCGGGAAGGACAAAAGCTGCTTCCAGGCCTGCCATCCCTGATTGCAGTGAGGTGGCAAGCCTTTGGCAGGAAGGGCTTAACTGACCATCCTCACTTCCAGTGGGTTTTGCTAAGGGACACCATGGGGGGCTTAAAAGGGAGGGGGCAGCTTGACGACAGATGGAACAGGCACCACCCTGATTGGTTGCCCTTTCTGTTTAGCCTGCAGTCCCCCCACCCTTTCCGCACAGTCGTGCCCTCCCTGCCACCACCATGCTCATTATAAGCTTTTCCGTCCCATCATACTGGTGCTGCAGGAGCACTGAGGGACTGGCCTCTTTGCTCAAGGCAGGCGAGCAACAAAAGTGGTACGTACATCTGCCATTTGCTCCTCTTTCAGTTCCTCTTCTTCATTTGCGTCTTTGTCCTTAACAAGTGGGGGATCTTTTATCCTCAATTCAGAGAAGTTCTGATGAAAGCTTCCCAGGGGTTTAGGCTGATACACAAAGCACCAGATTGTCCTGTGGCAGCATGAGGCTCGAAAGCTTGTCAATTATCATTTCTGGTTGGTTTGCTCTATGGAAGATTTGTGGGGAGCCTTCCATTCAAGGCGTTTTATTAACATGGTTTGTTTTGGAGCTCTGTGCAAAATACGTTTGCACGTGCCTGTGTGTGTAGACATATGGGAGAAGGGGAAATGAAGCTTACAAAGTACATTTCTGCATTCAGAAATGTCCGTGCTTGTGAATCTTTTTATGAGATTGAATGTGATCATGTGCTTTTATATGCTTACACAAGCACTTTTGTAGGACTTAAATGTTGTTCAGATGTGCATGAAAGAGGGGCTTCTATACACAAAGTGTTTAACCCACCACATTACCACTTTAGCCCACCTCTTCTGCCATTGTCTTTGTGGGAGGAAAGGGAGTCCTTTGCAGGGATGTATGTGTGGTGATGGTGGGAGAAGCCCGGGTTTGTCTTATTCTGCCTTTCTCTATATGCCTTTGCCCAACCATGAAGTAGCCCATGGTATTACTGCAGTATAGTGAATTTTCATTCTGCTTTAACAGCTGGCTTTCTGCACTCTAAAAAGAGCCATGAAAATGACTGGAGAACATGGAAGAGACCCTGGACTAGGATGATGTGTTTGTTTGTTTGTTTCTACATGTACTTATAGGCCACCCATAACTGCTGAGGCCTTCTTAGGAAGCTTACAGTACATAAACATATTAAAACATGTCCTGAAAAGGACCTGCAGATTTCCATGCATGAAGAATCACACGTGCAGTATAAATGCTGCATGTCGTGAAGGCCAAGTCCCCTACCCTATGAATAGGCATACAAACATACATTTGTGTGTCTGTAATTTAGTATTTGTATTTATTTAAATACAGAGACCAGAAATAAATCAATAAAGCTTCCACGATTGCTTAAAATGTATAGCCACAGCACCTCGACACAATCCCTCGAACTATTCAGAGCTGCAGTGGAAAGTGTAGTTTGAGCCTTGCACCTCAATGAGACTTTTCTTACTTGTGGGGCTTCTCACAAATGGGGTGCTACCACTGAGAAAACCCTCTCCCCAGTCTCCATTTTATTTACTTCTAAGGACAGGGGCACCTGAGCAAAGATCTCTCTTGCAGACCACAGCGACTGGGAAGGTTCAGATTTCCAGTTCTCACATCATTTAGGGCTTCATTGTTAAAATCAATATTTTGAATGGCGTCTGAAGCAAACCATGCAGCATATTTAAGATGTATCATGGAATACTCATGTGAACAGGTGAGCTTATGTTCACCTGTTTGCTGCATCTGATTTACATGCTGCATCACTGTAGCAATATATGTACATTTGTATTGTGTGTCTGTGCATACAGAAATGTGCACACTTCTAGGCATGTTGTCACTATACATCATCCTAACTATTATTAAACACAGGAACACATTGAATAAATGGCTTGGCAACCATATTACAGTCATAATATGGCCGCCCTCCAAGGACCAGCACCTTCTGAAAAATAAAAAAACAGATTCTTCTTCCAAGAATAATGAGTCACTTTTAAGATCCATTGCACAGTTTGTTTTTACATTGCAAAAAGAGGACAAATCTTACACCAAATTCTGAATACCTCTGCTACTCTGTGTGAACCTCTTTTCTTTGGGTAGCCAACATTATGGGCTTTCTTCTTGCCTCTTGTAAGGCATTTTGGATTTGTGTGGGTTTTGTTGGCAGTTGGCTGGCTCCTCAAGTTTTGCTAGCAGTAGTTACTATGTATATGCATTTCTCTTTGTACATGTACATGTGCATGTAGCTAGTATATGCTTCTGTTTCTATACATTACTGCTGCACTCCCAGTTGCATGCTATAAAACCAGAGACTGACTCCCTTAAAAAAGGTAGTGGAAAAGAATGTTCAGTTCTGGAGAAAGGGCAGGGCTAATGAATGTGGCCTAACAAATATAATTTAAAAATGAAATTATGTGCTTGGGTAAAAATGAAAACAGAAGCACCTCCTACGTTTTAGAAAGAGAGTAAGGTAAGCCAAGAGCATGGACTGGGGTAAGGACTGCGGTGTGCTGATATTGCCCCTTTTCATTTTGTAGGGCTCTTGTAACCTGAGCAATGATGTGGCTTGCAGAAATCTGTCAAATTCAGTTTTTTATCTTATGCCAAGGAAAACACAGGTGCCCTGTCCAAAAGAAAAGATGGCAACTTTAATTATATTGGTGAGATTGTTTCTTCTGCTCAAACCTTCCTCAGCTGTGAGGTGAACAAAGAATTGCTTTGTCTCTCTGCAAAGGGAGTGTCAGGATTCAAGCATCTGGAAATGTGTGTGTGTGTGGGGGGGGGTTCCTGTGTGATGTTTCTGTAAAGAGTACAGCACAATGTACACATTCTTCCAGCAGTGCAAGTTATCTAATGTTTGGTTTGATCTATGGAAGATCTCTTGGGATTAAGAGACTCCACTTTGAGGCTTTTTATTAGCACAGTCTGCTTTAAAGATTTGTTATGTGCCTGTGCAAAAGTTGAATATCCCATGTGGATTTCTGCACGCATATGGCAACACATCCATAATGTGCATGTATGCGCATTAAAGCAATAAACTTTCGTTTATGGTCTGTAATGAGTCACATTTCCACTGGGGGGTGCTACGTGACTCCCTATTTCTGAAACTGCTTCATGTTTTGCCACCTTAAACCAGAATGTCCTTTAAGCTGCAGTCAAGTCTGGCTTCTGAGACAGAGATGAAGTGTCCCTGGGTCTCTCCAGCACAGCCAAGCATTCAAGCATGAAAATGACTCAAGGGGGAAGGAGAGTAATAACCCCCTCCAGGCTAGAAGTTTCAGCCATTTGTTCTCTGCCCCTCTTTGCTTTATGAAGCTTGCAGACTTTCTCTCAAAAAGTGCTGCAGGGCAAGGTCAGGCAGTCTCCAGAAGCAAAGGAGGTGCAGTCATAATAAGGAGCTAAAGCAACAGAAGCTTCACAAGCTGGCGCAGGAAAGCCGGACGGCAGAGGAGGCAGGGATGGAGTCAGACCTGACGGTAGAAAGGCCGGCTTAATGGGGAGAAAAGAGAAACAAAGTAAGGGTGGAAGAGAGATTGGGACTCCCTTAAGAACTGGCTTTGCTGCCGACTGTGTTTAACCTTGAGATTGAATTCTTCGTCTCTCTGTTCAAAGCTTAAGCTCTAAAGTATGAGGTACTAGAGCTTGGGGCTAACCGGAGGAGCCCTTGTGAGGAACCAGGGTGGTGGCGTTTTTCCAGAGTGAAAGAAAAGCACTGTGCTTGCACTCAGAAGACAACAACTTACTTCCATTCCTGCTACACATTTTCTAGCAGTGTCCTCCTGCACAATGCATAGAAAGCCTATATATGTTGTGCCTATATACCTATGGTTTGTTGATTCTTCTTGTTAGCTGCTTTGGGGATCATTTGGAAAAGTGGATACAGGTTGATGATGCATTGAAAAACGGTTCTAGAGAGCCCTTCCACGGCCAGGTTCCCCCCAGAGGTGTCAGGCTTCAACTCCTCTATGATGGCCTAGAGCCAGGAATGTTGTAAGTGGTCATCCAAAGCATCTGGAGAGCATCAGGTTGGGGACAGCTGGTTTTGCACTCACCTCCTGCTCAAACAATGCACTGATATTCGGTGTTGAAATCTCTGCCCATGATCATCTTGCTAGAGCCTCTTATTGTTTACTCATTCAAGCTGGAGAGTGCTGCATTGGTTTCATTTTACAGATGCAGAATGGAAGCCCAGATAAGGTGTTATTTTATTTTATTTTTATTTAAAATATTTATACCCCGCCCTATATGCAAAAGCATCTCAAGCACTAGGAAGGATGCACTAGAAAGTCTGTGCCAGAGGCCAGGGGCGCTTCTCATGCTGGCTTTCTAAAAATGCTGCTTAAAGTGCCTTGTTATTAGTCCCTACCTTCTCTGTAGGGACAGGATGCAGACGGCATCCTTGGTGGGCATACTAACTGCCCTGACTTTGGCACCGGCTCTGACTGCTCTGCCTAAGGAAGAGAGGGGGAAGAAGAATAAGGAGAAAGCCAGAGTGGACATTGAGACTTACAGCCTGGATCTGGACAACTATGACCCCAGCCTGGAGAACTATGGAGAAGTCATCGATCTTAGTAACTATGAGGAAATCTATGATTATGGGGACCTGTCATCCAAGGTATTGTATGATCAAGGCCTTGTGTCTTTGGTGTAGTGCCCCCAAATTCCACAGAAGTGGGACATGTTACTGAGTAGGTAAATTCTTTGGTTGAGAATCTCAGATCTGAGTGTTTTTTACCTTTCTTGTCCCTCCTCTGCATTTACACCAATTGCTAGATTCTATAATGTGTCTATCCCCAGGATCCATACATTCCCATCTTACATTTCACAGATTTTTGCCAGATTACAAATAATTTAAAAGCTTGACTCTTTGAAGTCACATAAAATATATGCAAAGTCTTATAATGTATTCACTTAACAGAACTGGAATCTAGTAAGCTACTTGTACTGAGTCTGACCATCTAGCCCAGTATTGCTGGTACTGACAGGCAGCAACAATCCTGGGTCTGAGACAGGGTTCTTTCCTAGGCCCGTCTGGAGAAGCTGGGGACTGAACCTGAGGACTTCTGCATGTAAAGCACATACCACCACTGAGCTATAGGGTTACCTTGGTGCTGGTTCAGAATATAGAGACACTGATACACATACCAATGTGCAGATATAGAACTGCGAGGATAGAAGCATCAGACTATAAGACCGATCACCTTATCCCAGGAAGTTGATTGCTGAGAAGATTAGAGCAGCAGCCTCAGTTAGACTTACCAATATGCTCATCACTTCCCTTGTCTCAGGGATGCTTTCCTTTCCCTTCACTTTGTAACCTACGGTGGCTCATACCCTGTACTGCTGCACATCTTTCACAGGGCAATTGCTGAGCCAATTCCTAGGTAGCCATAAATTTGTTATAGGCGAAAATTGATCTTCTTTGAACAGACATTTCCTGTGTGTAGTGGTGGTGGGAGGAATCCACATTTGGGCCATGGTGTTAGTGGAGAAAGGTGGCAACTCTTTCCCCCACTCCACATCAAGGTCCCAATAAAAATGGCACTGATGGGAGATTCCCACCCAAGGCATTGTCCTCACATGGGGAAATGTGCGGTGAGAACCAACTTATGGCTGATATAGCCAGCAGCAGTTTTCACAGCCATAGTGGCATTTCCCCCCAGCTGCTGAAATGTCTAACATCTGCATCTGTGATTAGATAGTGTAAATGTAACATTATCCACTTAGACATATTTGGAGAGCTTGTACAGTGGGTGGTGAGGAACTAGCAGTTCTAAGAAATTGGTGCAAAAGCCTGGAAGCCTCTGACTTAGAGAATTCTATAGAAACAGATGAATCAGTGCTCCTGTCTGGAAAATGAAACTATCAATGCTGATTCGGTGCATAAATATAAAGATGTATATCTAATGCTTTGTTTTCAGATTGAGGTAGGCACCTTGGCTCCTCCTCCCATCAAGAATTCTGCCAAACCTCTGAGCACGGCTTCTGCACCTACAGAAAGTCCACAAAGCAGCCCTCCAGCCTCCACAGCAGTTACGTCTAAGGAACCAGAACTGTTTGGGTCCATAACAGATCATGGTGAGCAAAAGCTTGCAAAATCATCTCCTAAAGATAGGAGTGGCATGTACTAGGTGGGAACTGGTGTGAGTTTGTACTGGAAGCTGTGTGATACCAAGTCAGACCACTGACCACTTTAATTTGGTATTGCCTACACTACAGATAGACAACCTTCAGCCAGGATGTCCAATGGTCAGGAATTATGGGAGTTTTCACCCAAAACATATAGAAGGCACCAGATTGTCTTTCTGATCGTTCATCCCGATTCTTGTTGCTGTGGTTATGTTGACAATGGTGTTGCGGTGGTGACGATGATGGTGGTGTTCTTTTTCTTCTTGTTATTTCTGTCATACCTTTCTGTTAGCAAGACCCAATGAGGCCTGCATGAAGCAATGCAATCAAAAATATTTGATGTAACAATAACTAAAAATAAAATTGGAGTGTTAAATGACATTTCAGTTAAAAACATGTGTCTAAAAACTGCAGGTCACTAAATATTAATCTTCTTGATATAATCCCCCCCATCAAATACCTGGAAACATACGATGATTCCTATAGGGAAGCCATCCTAGAGCTTGGCTATTACCACTAAAATCCCTTTCAGGTAAAGAGATAAGCAGCTACATGGTTATGATCCAACCATTAGCTGTCCGTCAGGGGTGGGTGATGAGCACCCTGTGGGACACATTTAGCCCCTGACCTACCTCTGTGTCCCCAGAGAACCTCTGGTGCACCTCCAAAATTCAGGAGTGTGGCAGCAAAAGGACACAATTCTCTATTAAAACAAGGTATATATTGAATGTGCACTGTGTTTTCATGGAAATAGCATTCTTCTGGGTCCTCAAGAACATTATTTGCCTTTAAACAAGATGCATGCTTGCTGTACACCTTTGTCTTAATGTGGATGCTTTTGCTACTGTTTTTCTATTGAAATTAAGGGACAGCAGTAATTTTGACAGTGTGTGTGCACCTCTTTCGGTGGGAGGGAAAAATTTGCCCCCGGACTACTTGTTGCTGCTATATATTGCATATATACACACCAAGCTAACCTTTCAATCTTTCCAAGGAGGTTCTTGCTAAAACATATGGTATATTTTTCCTGGGACTTTACTACTTCAGAATGCAAGTAGGGAGTCACATTTTTAAATCCACCCACTCATTAGAAAATACCCATAAAATGCCAGCTTGCCAAGGAGACATGTTGTAGCTTATCCTGCTCCCTGACATGTTTGCTTTGCTCATACAGATTACTTTTTTAAAGTGTGAGGATTCAAAAGGTGTGAATTCAAACATAGAATACCTGCACCTGCATTATGATACAAAGCAATTCAAGAGAACTGTAAGGTGCTGTTTTTGCAAGAAATGCTGCTTTTTCAGACAATGGATATTTTCTATAAGGGATTTTCTCTATGTTACATTTACTCTTTGTTTCAGTTTTGCTACAGAACTGAGATCCCAGAACTAGATGGAGAGTTTTCTTCCCTGTTTTTCTGCTTCATAACCTCTAGATGGCGCTGTTTAATGGAATAACTCAAATATGATCTCATGCTTTGTTTCTCTTTTATAAATAATACCCCATATTCCCTGCTCCAAAACAAACAAACAATCACACACACCTCAAGGAAAGTGTTGTTTACAAACAGAAAGGTCACAACACCATCTAAAAAACCCGTAAACCTGTAACCTGAATAGAGATTAATGGAACACAATAAATGCCTCATGAAGAAATGAAATGAAAAAATGATCTTTTTCTAACATGAAAGAAGGATATATCCAGCATTTGTGCTGTAAACCCTTCCAGTAGCAACTTTAGATGGTGAAAGATTATAGGACTGTAGCCAAAACATACCAACAAAGAAAGTAGACAGAAATGCCAGTATGCTTGGGAGGAGTTTCCAGGGGACGAGGCTTGGTAGCTATCCCTGCCTTGATGGATCCCAAGAACCTCCCAAGGCCAGCTTGGTGTCCCTGGGACCAGAGCTTCTCTGCCGTGTTGCAGAAGGGACGCTGGATTCCTTTGTGTCCTCCTTTCACCATAAAACGAAGACATTTCTGTTCTTTAGGCATTCTTTTGTTTCTATATAAATGGTGTGCTCCGAATGTCAGTCCTAATTGTATTTCCTGCCACAGCTGGGCTTTATAGCATGATGTAATTTTATATTGGACTTTTGTCTTTATGTGGTTGTCTTTAAATTTCATGTCACTTCAAGTATTTTAGCTGCTAGAAAGGCAGCTTGGGGACTGATTCTTTGCTTTTAAATATATAAAAAGCATGTGCTGTTGGAAGTTTTAAAGATGCTGGATCCACCCCCCCCCCTCCAGCCCTGACCCCCGGCAGCAGAGGAGAGGAAGCGCAATACACTCCCCCTTGCAAAAATGGCTGAGCTGCTTGTGTGAGACATTAGAAGAGCTTGAGAAAGGCGCTGCTCGGAAATAAGCATAAATGCCAGCAAAGCAACAACACTTTAATGAGTAGAGACGCAGCGACAATCGGACAGAGTAGCAATTAGATTAGTGACAATTAAAATCCTGTAGCGAGGGATAAATATCTTTATTCATTTTCTGTCACTCTGAACTGGGACAAATTAGGTAGTAGGCTGAGCAAAATTGTTGCCTTTCTGCTTTGAACTCCTCCACTAATCGAGCTGGAGTCTGCTCAGTCCTCTGAACAGAGGCTTCTTGTTTTTTTAACCAAGCATTTTTAATTGGTGCTTGTGATCTTGTCATGTTGCCACCATCACTTTGACTCTGCAATGGGCCGTTGGCTCCAAAAAGCCACAATGGTCTCTCAGGCACAAAAATAGCTCCCTTCCCTCTGGGTTTGTATCTTCAAATAGGAGAGGCCAAGCCAAGCCCCTGTGGTAACGCCATCAGCTTAATAGGCATTGCACCCACTAGACTGGATTTGGACCAACTGATTCATTTTAAAAGAGCTCTTTGGATGAGAAGTTTGTGAGCCATCACTTAATTGCAATTGACTCATTCGCTTTTCTCTTAATCTTTTAAGTGAGCTTAGCTCTCACTTGTGAACAAGGTTCATCTGATATCTCGCACTAGCTTCCATGAACACATAAGACAAGCTGAATCTCACATATGCTGTGCAGCTCCCCTCACATTGGGTAATTATTCCCTGCTTTTCTGCTGTCAGTGGTGATTAAACCAGTGCACAGTAAACATCCACTTAGCCAAATAGGTCAGATCGGGGAAAAATACTTTTCAAAATATAGCAACAAAGTCAAGTATAAGACAAAAGGTTGTATTGAATGCTATGATTCCTCTAATTCAGAGTAGGGCAACCATGTTAGGTCCAGTGGCTACTGCATCCACCCCACAGGACCAGAAGGCCAGATGATGTCAAGGGATGGGGCCTTACAACCACAGTTTCTCCCCCTCCCGGGACATCATCTGCCCACCCCCACCCCCTGCCCAGCTTTTTAATATTTTTCTTTCTCTATGCAAAGAGAAGCACAGACCCTATGCAGAGAAAGGGGCTTGTGAGTGTCGGCAGAGTTGTGCTACACCTTCTCATGCTGTGAGTGGCCCAGGAACACACTCTGCTGGGACTTTCAGAAGCCAAGGCTGGCAAGCCCAAACCAAGTTGGGCTCCTGTATCAGTTGCGTTCTAAGTTGTATGGGCTGTGGATGGAGATAACAAAGGCTTCCTGCAGTGTCAAGGGCAGTGCTTGGGAAGTGGGAGGGCAGGGCCAGGTCCTGAGGAGGGTGCTCAACCATGTTTGGGTGAACTAGACCCCAGCATGGACTGGATTTCACTTGCAGAGGGAAGTTGTCCCCACTGAACTAAAGTAAAGCTTTCACCACTGGTGGAAACACAATTTTTATTATTGCTCAAGTGTAAAATTCAGTACTAAGATTCTACTAGTGTAAGCAGTCGCAAAAACTATTGCGCAACTCATCAGCAACTGATTGCACAACTGATTTAGCAACTAGAAGAACATGCTGCCTCTTGTACCTTTTCTGTTGGCCTAAAATTGGATATAACTCCAGATCAGCAACATGGTAAACATAACATACATTCAATACTACACGGAAGTAATCTAGACTTTATATAAGCACAAGGTAAGATGCACCTTAGTAAGGAAAAACAAAAGCACCAACTCAGTCCTCACTGCTAATGCTAATTTTGTTGTGACACTTTCAAGGGGCCACAGATGCCTTGCTTAAAGCCAATTCAAAATCTCAGAAGCAACACAGATGTACTTTTGTACTTGTATACGCCTGACAGAAAGTACAACTGTGGAGCCTATTTTATTTAGGGGACGTTGTGGTACTAGTATTTTTCCAAATTGCAATTGCTGCTCTGGCATCATATAGTAGAGAATGCAGTGCACTGTCGTTTGTATTTATATGCAAGGCAAGCACCACACATCTTAGGGAGAAGTAGCAGTTTAAATAGTTCATGTTTTGGTTTTTGTTTCACAGTACAGTGATGCAGGGGGTTGTTTGTTTGCTTTTTTTAATGCAGAAGTTGCATGATCTGGAGTGGAGGCTGAAAAATAAACATTGTAGTTATTCACTGCTGTGCACCTATTTAGGCACACAGTGAAAACTAGAGAGAAAAGCACAGATTTCTTACCTGCAAAGAGCATGAAAATCAGCATAAGGAAACGGCAGAGAATGAAAAGAAGAAGATGACAAAAAGCAGGAGGAGGGAAAGGATGGGGGAAATGTTGCAAAGCAGCTTCTACGGCAGGAATGGGTACCAGTGGCCCTCCAGATGTTTTGGCCTACAGCTCCAATGATCTCTCACCACTGGTGATGCCAGCTAGCTCTGATGGGAGTTGTAAATTAAAACATTTGGAGGGGCCCATGTGGCCTATCCTGGCTTTAAAGTTACTCCCATTGATAACTGTTGTAATACCACTTTATTATGAACATATGAAACATGGAAACTGCAGACACCAAAAAACTGTATAAAAGTAATTTGAGCAAGAAATGGAATATAAAGGGGACTTGCTACCAGGTTAGGTTTGTGTGAGCAGATGCAAAGGGAAATGCTAATGTAGATTGGCCCAGGTCATACCAGCAACTCACATAATGGAATAAGTAATTATGGCTGCCCTCCAGGCCACCAGTTTGTATCTGCCTCCAACTCCAGATATTAATTTGGCACCAGGCCCTGCCTGGTAGACCTTGGGATTCTCGCCAAACAACAACAGCAACAACTTTCCAAAAGCCTGAAAGCCTGTCTTACAGTATCAGACTTTTGCAGGCCTGGTGACAAAAAAGCACAAATTCCTGCATGAGAGTCCAAGGTCTGCCCCTATTTTACGCGTGCACTTTGGAAGATGATAGCCGATGATAAACAACAGAAGAATCCATTACTGTTGTCCTCCAGGAGTTAGAGACTACAACTCCTAGCATTCCTGACAGTTGGCTATGCTGGATGGGATTGATGGACATTGAAGTCCAAAATGTTTGGAGCGTACCAGACTGGAGAAAGCAATTTTAAGTATTTTAATATGTGTACAGATGGCAACTCACCATGTCAAAATTTCCAAGATTTTTCAGCTCACAGAGAGTCACAGACAAGCCAACTGGGGTATGCAAGTTCAGCAATGGAATCCCCATGAATAATATATAGTAATGGAAGGCAAACTGTGTGCATAAAGAATTGTGGAAACTGCTTTAGTGCTAAGGCCCTGCTCCTCTGGCAACTTATTTGTCATTTGTCACCCTAGGTCATTTGTCTAGGGCTGCTATTGCCAAGCTCTTGTACTGTGTTGAGTCCTCTTTATGTGTCACTGCCTCTCCTGTCTCCAGATCTTCCCACCTGCTTGATTTGTGTGTGCATCAGCAATTCCGTGTACTGTGATGACACTGATCTAGAACATATCCCTCCTCTGCCCTTGGAGACCACGTACTTCTACGCTCGCTTCAACCGCATCAGCAGGATTCAAGCCAATGATTTCCTTGGACTTGGTATGCTTAGGATTCCTGGATATGATTTTTAGAGTCTTGCATCCCTCTTTATCCCATTCTGTTACAAGTGAAGCCACCTGTCCATGGTGTTTCCATCCTCCTTCATCTTCCCTGTGGGAAAAGCATTTCCATGCATTTGTCTCACCCAAAAATATTGGAATACCAGAGTCGGTTTCATGCTGTTTCATCTTATTTCATGATTCGCATTTCATTTGGACTGAAAGCAAATTGACAATGTACTTGGTCCATGCCAGTTTTAGGTATGTGACAAATGAACCCTGTTTTCATGACTAATAGGAGTATGATAGCAGCAGGGGAAAGGATTCCACTTGTGGTTTCCCACCACAAATTCAATGAGATGTGAAAAAGTGAATCTGGCACATAGTAATGGATGTGAGTACAGCTGGCACACCATGAGCGAGAATCCAACAGGCTTCCTCTAGAGTTATCAAGTGCTAAATGGGCATGTGATTAAGGTCTGGGTACATAAACATAAAAACATAACAAAGCATAGCATTTATAAATACTGTATTTTTTGCTCTATAAGATGCAC